CGCTCTTGTTGATGCAAGAACTTTCTTTACATGTAATTTAGAAGTTTATGCAGGTACTCAGCCCCAAGGCCCGTATCATATAAATAATTCACCAGTTGAAATCTTCAAAAGGTTAATAGAAAAGTTAAATTCTGGGAGAAATGTAACAGTCGACAACTGGTATACTAGTTATGAACTTGCAAAGTATCTCCTTCAGAAAAACATTACTCTAGTGGGCACCATAAGAAAGAACATGAGGAAAATGCCAAAAGAGTTTTGTGAATAGTAAAAATCGTAAGGTGCATTCATCTTTGTTTGCATTCCAGAAAGACATGACTTTAAACCTAAAATAATAAAATTTTATAATTTGACTAAAGGAGCTGTCGATGTGGTGGACCAAATGTCAGCAGCGTATTCAACTGCAAGAATCAGCAAAAGATGGCCGATGGTTCTGTTCTTTACACTGCTAAATACTGCTGCAATCAATGCTCGAGTATTACTCCAATGCTCAAAACATCCATCCTTACAGCACAGAAAGCAGAGTCAGTTTTTGAGAGATCTTGCAACAGATTTGCTGAAAGACTACACAGCGGAGAGGTGCACTGTATCATGTCTCCCTCAACATTTGCAAGGAAAACTATCTCCCAAGAGCAAAAAACCTACTGCTAAAAAACAGAAAGTAATTGAGAGAAAAAAGTGCTATATTTGCCCAAGTTCAAAGGACCGAAAATCTAAGATAGTATGTACAAAATGTGAAAGAAATGTCTGTTGAGATCATTTTGTTTTAACATGTACCAATTATACATAAAACTTGGTAAGTTTTTTTAAAAAATCTATACATAAATTGAATAAAATTAGAGCTCTAAATATTTGTCTTAAATTATGTTGTTAGTAAATGCTTTAATGGGGTGTTTAATGACCTGCATAAAATATAAATCCATAAACGCGCCTCGCAGGCCCGGCGCGAGCACTTGTGTACGTACGATTAGCGCGAGTAACGCCGGGTTAATATTGGATCCTCTTTGTTTTCCTTATTCCAAGGTGTGCTCTGAAAACGGAACCATTTTCCAACACCATTTTCAGTTCCATATAATTCCAAATCCTGTGTTCTTCTATTAATAGGAAGCACCATCGGAAAACAGTCTGTCCGAGTACTTTTTTTGGTGATGTAAAAAATTATCAATAAATAATTTTAGATAAAAATTTTGATAAAAACTTTTAGATTTTTCTAGAAGTTCTGAGATAATCCTTTTCGTTCATCTACGCTGCAGTTTCATTTTTTCTTCTTTTGTCTGGGCAGTCTCTTGCAGTGTGTTGATAGCTTCCATAAATATAACATTATTTTCTTCTCGTAGAAAATCCTTGTTTTGTGTATTCTTTTTTGATGTGTGAAAGAGTATATTTATCTTGTCTACATGTTGTATCTATGAATCTCGGCAATAGTATAGTTTCATTTCAGACTTTGTCAAAAATTTTTCATTTTACTGTAAAATAGATATCACATTCTTTAGTTAATTCTTGCAGCTTTAACTATTTACTTTCTTGGCATATTGTGGCTTGTAATGCTGTTTTTCCATCTAAAGCTTGAAAAAATTTATCAGTAATAGTTTAATTTCTTCTGTGTTTTAAAACCTTCTGCTTCTCTTGTTTTACAGTAGGAGTCACATGTGACTGGTATTTGTGAAGCAAACTAGATATGTATTCCGCTGGAATAACGTTTAGCTCTTCTGAAGTTTTCTAAACAGGCTTGAGGAGTGGTTTGATATTCCTTTAAAATAAGAGTTTTAACTTTTTTGTAGCTTTGCAGATCTTCATCCTTTATGTAGACATAGAAGTTTGAAGCTTTTTCTCAACTGGTTTCAATAATAATTCTGATTTGAATTCTTCTGGAACGTTCTTGTGCTTAACCCTTTAAAGGGCACCGGTATATAATATATATACCAGATGTTTGTCAATTTTTTAACCTCCTAAAAATAGCTAATTTTTCTACACCAAAAGCTGTAATCATAAGTTTCTACTGTTTTCTTTTTGATTCTAAATGGCAGCACTACCCTATGAATGCTCAATATTTTGCAGTTTTGAAATTAATATACCTCTTTCAAAGGTATCATGTTTGAATATTCATAAATTCCATTGGAGGTTGGGAAAAAATTCAGTCTTCAAATATATGACGCACACGTGCTGAACCTTTTATATTTACTGCATTTCAATCAGAACTGATAATTAAAAGAAGATTATGTATACATTTTTAATACTGGTATATAATATATACCGGCGCCCCTGAGGGTACCTTGCCAATAGATGGCAGCATCAGGCTTGTCCTTGTCTTCTCTGTGAGATGACAGAATTTCTTTACATTATAATAGTTTATAATGCAATAATTTGCTTATGATTAATTTACAAGTTGTTTAGGATTCAGTATTATGTTCATGGGTGTATGAGAACTTTACTGACAGCGTCCTAGGGCTGAATACAAGTATATTGGTTTAATTTTATTCCTTCTTTACAATACTCGAGTTTCTCATTCGTCTCTGTTTAGTTATAATTTTAATTTCAGCACTCCACCCTTTCCCACAAGAAAGACTCATTTAGCATCAAAAAATGATACACAAATGTAGAGGTTAAATGTGGTATTGTTAGCCCCCCAACACACCTGTTGTTTTGGGTTTTCCAAAATCTCAGAATGCAACGAAAATGACAGGTGATGGACAACAAATTTGTCACGCTGGGGTCATGCCATTTTCACAAAGGGACTGTAAAAACATCATACAAAGGGAAAGCTCTAGAAGTATGGGAAATTGAAATGCATTTTAGATCCATTTCTTAGTGCAATAGGAAAACTGCTGATTTGAAAGCATGCTTTTATTCTTTAGGTCTTTGTTAATTTTAGATGAGAGACTAAGGAATACAAGAAAAATTTTCCCCTTGGAATAAGGATACAAGTACGTGGTGTAGTCTTCACAGCTGGTGAATTGAGGGAAATGTTTCTAAGGCCAGATTTAGGTGCAAAACATTTATCTGTGGAAGGGGGGTGGAGAAGAGGCAAATATTTGAGTTTTTAAGTTTTGATTGAAATAAGAGCTTTGAGGTGTATCAAATAATAAAATCATTTAACAGCTTGAATAGCTTGAACAAAATGATATATTACAACCTATATTTACTAAAAATGAAAAAGGGCGCCCCTTACCGGGCCTGATAATCGAAAGTGTGTGTAGGGGGGCGATTCTTGCTATCATAGCATGAAGCATACTCTTTTTATATATTATCTAAAGCATAAAATATAATAACTTCAAAAATGCAACACAATTTTTCAGCTGAGTCGTAGTGTTTCATTTTAAATTTTTTGCCTGAGGAACATCTCCTTGTAACATTATACTAGCTATATATATATTAGGCTGGGGGCATTATCAAAGTGTGAAAAACATAAATTTTATTTTCTAAATTTAAATTTCTTGGGAAATTTTAAAAGTTTTTTGCCTACAGACTTATACATCTGTACTCAAGCACTCATCTCTATAGATGCACATAAAAAGTTCACAAAAATAGATGAAAAAAACAAAAATTAACAATTGGCAGCTACCTGGGGAAAAAATTGTCAGAGGGGCACCGGTATAAAATATACCTGCCCTCAAAATTCAGGATTTCACTTTAGATTTTTTTTAAGTCTGAATTTTGTGCCCAAGGGTCTATAAGTTATAATTCATTCAAAATTTTACCACAATTTAAATTATTTTATATACCGCCCCTCAAAGGGTTAAATGTCTTTTTGATAGAATCAAAAGATGTGTTCCATGCTTTTGCTGCTCTCTTCGGTACTGGTAGTGTTTCTACACTGTTGATCAGCTTTTCAAGGAAAATTTCGGTTTCTCTGCCGGTGTTTTGGATTGAAATTGTTGGACTTCTACTTATTCCATTTTAAACTGCTCGAAACTTTACTACTTTAATTTCATGTTTTCTTTCTATTCTCAGTCTCGCTTCTTCCATTTCTATTCTTTAGAAATCAGAATTTCTTTCACAAAGTCAGAATCTTCAATGTATTCCTTGCTGTTCTGGAGTTTGTTTTTCAGTTTTGCTTCTTATTCAATTCCCAGTAAGACAGTCACCAAATCTTTCTATATGTTTTTAAATATTTTGTTTTCTTTAAACTTTTCCAACTTTATAATTTAATAATTCTTGTGCTTTCTTGTTCTAGTTTTGAAATACGAACTCTTTCATTGTGAGAAACATCCATTTCCATTTTCAGTACTCTTAGCTGCGAGTCTCGATATCGAGAACACTGTGATGGCTTTCTGATTAACCTTTGGTTTGCTTATCTGGTGATTTCTATTGGCAACATACTTGTAGCAAAATTTGCACATCCAGTGATGTCCATGGGCATGCATTTGTTACCTCTATTAAAAGGTTTTTTACACTATTTCATTGTTTAATCACTAGTAATACGTTTTATGCTGTACAGACTTTAAAAAATGTTTTGTTCAATATGTAGTTATGTATAAAATTTTATATGTTTGCATACATTATGCGAATCAGTATGCAGATTTCAAATAGGAAATAAAAAATACTCAGTTTTTTAAAGTGATTTAAAAAAAAAAAATTAGCAGTCAGAATGTTAAGAAGTCTCCATTTGACAAAAACAAAACAGAATATTTCTTAAAATTACATTAAAGGATAAAATTAAACTCAGAGCCGAATACCATTCCTACAATATACAACTATCAAACACCTCGCTACTTTAGGGGCAAACATTCAACTCACTTATATCTAGCAACCTCTTGGAAGAAATGTGCCAAGCGTGCCTTGTTGATCACCGAAAAGTTGCCAGATACTACAGCATGAATGCTGACAATTGAGTCTTTTTATATTGTCAAACATTAGTTATTAACTTCCCAGTATCACAGTTTTCTAGCCGTGGTATTTTCAGTAGTGTACATTTTATGCATTATGTGTTTGACACATCAAATTACAAATGTTATAGGTAATGGTCACATATCATAAATTTCCTTTTTTCCTTCCTTGGACAGAGTCTCCATACTAATTTGAAGAAGATTACTCCATTTTTCCATGTCATAGAGCAAGGGTTTAAAGCATCTTCTGAGGATGTGATCATAGCTTCATTTTCTGCATGGAAGAATCTCATTAATAGCTTTACTCTAGAGGATGGTAATATATATAGTTGTTACTGAATAATTATGTCTCTTGTTTTCAAATTCTTCAATGCAAAACAGAAAAATTTTAAGCAAATTGTTTTTGAACAAACAGCAGTATCAGAATATACTGAAAGCTAAGATAATAGAAATGAAAATTGTCAATAGGAGAAGAATTGGGCCTTAATTAATTTTCTTTATTTAATTATCAAATGGTAAGGTATTAACATACCTTCATAAAAAATATAAATTATTTAAAAGAAATAAAGAGAAGTTAGCAAGTTGTTTATTGAAGAAACTGAACAATAATTTGATTTTTTTAGTAACAAGTTCTGTTGTATGTTAAAACTTGTAGTCTGTAATTTTAATCACTCATGGCCAAGGTTACAAAAGAAATGCGCTTGTGGAAACAACATGTGCATTTAAGTATTAAATATAGTTTTTGCCATCTTAAATTTTCTGTCCTTAATTAGTAAATAATTAAATGCTTATATGCAATGTAATAAATATTCATGTATAAAAAAAAATGTCTTTTAAAGTGTGTCATTTTCAAGAACTGTTTGCATAGCTAGCAAGGGGGGAGGATTTTCTAGAGAAACAATATACATTATATTAAGCAAATAAAAAAAAAAAGATTTTCTAGAGAAACAGTACACATTATTAATGTTTTGAACATCTTGAATTTTAATTTGTAAGGGGAAGCAGAATGCATTTTTTCATGCAGAAATTTAAAAAAATATTTTAAATAAAAATTAAGAGTGATAACTGTAATAACTTTTGTATCAGATAGTAATAATATTGTATATACTTACAAATAAATTAGTAAAGGAATGGTGTACAATGAACTTTATCAAAAAGCAAAAACCGACCAAACAATTTTGATAATATCAAAGTTGATTATTGCAGTAGTATCAGATGAAATTAATATTTCATGTTGATTACCATATTTTGTAGAATTTTTTGTAATGTTTTATGGAAATATAATAGTTTTAGTTTGAAAAAGACATTTATGATATTCTGTATTGCATATTGAACATTCTGTTTTGACTTCTTTAAGAATGATATAGTCTAGTATTCCAGATATGACATGAAAAGTTTCATTTGTTTTAGTAATAAATTGCTATTTCCATTTTCAGTGCATCAAAAGCAATTTTGTATTTCTTGCAGGTGTGTTGAATGATTCCAAAAAGTTACGCTTTGTTCTTAAGCCATTCCAAAATATATCCAGATTCAGTGAAAAAGTTCTTTTAAATGTTTGTGACACGTGGTGGTATCTTGCATGGAGTTTATCTAAAGACTTATCTGTCAGGTTTACTGAAGTAAGCTTATTTTTCAGTCTGCTGTGTAATTTTGTAATTTATTTATAATTCTTGCAGCTGATCAAATTCTAATCTAGTTTTCACTAACCAGTATTTAGTTGTTTACCTAGTGCACTGTTCAGTATATAAAACATGATAATTTTTGCATATTTTAAAATTATCTGCATTCCCAATTTCAGATCCATTTAACATTGAGGTAAATGGCTTTCTGCAAAGCTGGCAACCATTTTGGCAACTAATTTAGGGAGAAATCAACAAAAGTTTTCATACTTGGTGACATTTTGCATCAGTCCTTGTGTGACTGTAATTGACGCGATGCCTATGTAACTCTAACTGTAATGGGCCATATGTCACTGTAACTGCATATGCCTTCCAGGAATTTCGAGAAATCAAAGGTACAGGAAATTTCTTGGCAGCCAGGGAAGACCAGAGAGAGCATCAGTTCTCAGTTTAGTTTACAATTCAGAGTATTGAGAGATCTCCCTGTGAGCTTTGCTGTTTAGATGCACTTTGCATTGCATTGTGTTTAATGTTCTTAGTAGTTTGAAGTAGTAACTACTGATTCTGCTCTGTCATACTGAGAAGACCTGTATGAGTAAATTTGTGAAAAGTTCGAGAACTGTAGTGTTTCTTTTGGGGCAATAAATTTAATCAAGCTGTCATTGGTTCTGTATGGATTCAGTCCATCATTTTGAACCCTTATGCATGAAATAGTACAGTCAAATGGCTGGGTTTTTGATGCATTTTCAAGTATACATACAAATAGCTAACCCATATACAGTGGTAGCCAAAATTGTGGACACTTTTGGAAATTTTTATGTTTTTGAACTTTGTATGCTTATAGAAAATGTTACGTTTCGCAAACTGCAAACTTGTATATATCATTTTAAGAGAATTTATTACTGAATTCAATACAATTAAAAATTATTTGTACATTTTTATTGCCTTTAATAAAATACAAAAAACACGTTATGAAGTGGTTTGTAAATTAGTTTGAACAAATTCAAATACAAAAAAGTTATATGTCTTTAATTAATAAAAAAACACAGTTATGAAGTGGTTTGTAATGTCTAGCTTTTCTGACCAATCACTGTTCTTGTTCTGAGAACCAGTCAAATGTTAGTAACTGCCAGTAGAAGCTGACATCATGTTTACACTTGAAACAATTCATTATTTTGCTTTGTTTTGTAGAAGGAGGACCTGTTTCTTATACACTGCAATTACAAGTAGGAATTTTTCAAAAAATTTTTAATATTTAGTCAAGAAGCAATGACATAAAAAAAAAAAAAAAAGAGTAGATTGGACACCTAGAAAGAGATGTAATGTTATTGTGTTACAAGAAAGTGGTCTTTCCTATGCTGAAATTGCAAGACAGGTGGGTGGTTCGGTGACTACATCTGGAGTCCGAAAGTTTTGTTTACGATATCAGGAGACAAATTCAATAAAAATACCTAAAGAAGGAAAAGGCCGAAAAAGGTGCACCACGTCTATTGATGACAGAAGAATAAAAAGACTATGTCTCCAAGATAGAAAAATGTCATCAGCAGCCATCAGAAGTGATCTGAATGATGCTGGTGTTTCTATCAGTTCAAGAACAATCAGGAGAAGATTAACAGATGTTGGACTGAGAGGTAGAATTCCATAAAAAAAAAAGCCTTATCTTAATTTTCAGCAACGAAAAAAAAAAAAAAAAAAAAAAAAAAAAAAAACCCTGCAGTTGGCAAAGGAACACATTAATTGGACAGATGATCAGTGGTCACAAGTTATATGGAGTGATGAAAGTAAGATATCGTTATTCAGTAGTGATGGGCGAAAATATGTAAGACGTAGAATAAGAGAAGAGCTACATCCTGACTGCATTCAAGCAACTGTGAAGAACCCAGTTAGTGTTATGATTTGGTCATGCATGTCAGCAGATGGTATTGGTCGCCTTCATGTCATCGATGGGACACTAAATGCCAGAAAATACATTGACAGTATTCTAGAACCAAAACTTCTATCTTCCATCAGAGATCTCTTTCCCAACAATGCTTTGTTTATTTTTCAGCAGGTTTCTGCTCCTTGCCACACGGCCAAAATATCGAAAGAGTGGTTTCGTACAAAGAGCATTAAATTGTTGTCATGGCCAGGAAACAGTCCTGACCGCAATCCTATCGAAAATTTGTGGCACTGTTTGAAAACTCTTGTCCGAATGAGCCCATCAAATAAAAGGGAACTAATTGAGGCTATAATTGTTTCCTGGCATCATGTAATAACAAAAGAAGAGCTTAAAACTCTTGTCAGCTCAATGAAACGTCAATGTGAAGCTGTAATAAAAAATAAAGGGTACCCTATTAAGTGCTGATAACTCACTGCAATCATCACTATCTAATGTATATCGATAACTATTATCGTTTAACTTTTTTTTGTATTGCAAATAATTGAATGTGTTTTGTATTGAATTCAGTAATAAATTCTCTTTAAAGTGATATATACAAGTTTGTATTTTGTGAAACGTAACGTTTTCTATAAGCATTTCTATAAGCAAGTTCATAAACATAAAAATTTCCAAAAGTGTCCACAATTTTGACCACCACTGTATAAGTGTATCACACAAGTGTTTGTTATGCATGTGAATTTTACACACTTTATATTTAGTTACACTGTTATTTTCCTTAATAGTGTCTCTAAAAATATTAATATCAGCCATATATACATATTTTTCTCTCATAAAATTTCCTTTTATTTATAAAATGCTTCCTTCTGTTACTCAGTATGAACAGAACAATACTCATAAGCTGTAAAGATATGAAACAAATTTTTTACTAAGTCACCAATTCAGTAATGAAATAGTGATTTTTTTCATGGTGGTGTGGATAATCAGAAAGTATGAGTTTTTGTTATTAGATATAAATCGGTTTTGTAATTTTCTAATCATATACATTTTATTCATTCAACATAAAATTACCATATGAGGGAAAAAAATTAACTTAAAACCATCAACAGCTATAAGTAACTTGTTTATCATTGTTGGTATAGTTTGAATAACAGAAATCTCGAGCAGACTTAGATCAGAATGGTCATCTTTTTATAAATACAAACATTATAATTTTTGCAATTTTGTGAATAAATTCATTCATTTGTTCTTTATGAACAGATGACTATACTCAGTTATTTATCACAGTAAAATTTTGATTATCCATCATTCAGCTAACCAAATAGGTCAAGTAAAGAGATTTGTTTGGGGAGGTGATAAAAAAGTAAGTAATCAAAAGTCTTGTAAAGCATGCAATACGATTACCTGTCAGAACAAAGGAAATCTGTCACCAAATGACATGATTTAGTGCCAATAATGGATAAACATGATGCCACAGTACAATCATAAGGTTTTCACTTTGATTTAATATAAGCCTGATTAATTCTGAACAAGCTGGCTTAGTTTATGTGAAGAAGATATATGTTACTAGCTATTAATCTGTTTTTCCCTCGCATTTTGGGAGAGGGGGCAAATTATTACACATTTTGGCATGCTGTAAAGGGGAGGGATGAAGTGAGATAATTACAAATTAAGGGGTCCTGTTGTCAAGAAAAATATGCCTTAATGTGCAACTTTATTAGAAAACGGGCAAATAATGGTGATTCAGTGTAAAAATTTATGACCAGCAAAATTTAGTGTGCGACATCTGTAACTTGAAGCTCGTGATTTATCTAAGTAAATAAATGATCAATTCTTTCAATTTTCTGCCAAAATAATGGACACAAGTTTGGCAGGATATGTGGCAAATTCCATGGTTGAGAGGATTTCATAATCAGATGTTTTATTTTTGTATGCTGCGGGCCATTGCATTCTTTAATTTATCTTCCATGGAGCTTCACAAGCAGCTAATTCTCAAAGTATTTCCATTCAGCTTATAAGGTATTTTTCCCGCCTTCTTACTATGCCTTCGTTTTGCAGTGGTCAGCACACTTGGCGCGTATTCTAGAGATCCGCGGTTCGAGTCCCGGCGAGGGCATTGTCCATTTTTCATCTTTTCTGCTTTAAAAAAATAATGGTAATGTCTCGATATTGGTGCCTGAACTAAAAAAAAAAAAAAAAAAAAAAGTTAGTGGATGATGATTCTTAACCACCAGAATTTGGCAATTGGGTGCTCTAATCCCGAGCCGCTCATTAAAAGGGGGAATATATAAGGTATTTCTCCAGCTTTCTTAGCATGCCTTCATGGTGTAATGGTCAGCACACTTGACACATATTTGAAACGTCTGTGTCCCGGCAACGGCGTTGCTAATTTTTCTTACTCTCCTGCTTTCAAAAAAATACCTAATATCTCTATAAGCAAAACATTTTTTTTAATTTAATCATCCTGTAATCTTAACAAATCAAGTGATTTAAATGCATCAATTATATATTTTTTAATAATTTAGACTTTTCTCTCTCTTTTTTTTTTTAACAACTTTATTAATTCTGAAACTCTTTTGTTCCATTCCATATTTTTCATCGCATGTCACACATCTCAGCTTGTCATTCTTAGTTTATCCTCCCACCCCCGAGATTTCGCCTACATGATGCATTTCAAATACTTGATAAAATTGAAAATTTTTTGTTTTAGTATCCTATAAATTAATTGTAAATTTGATTTTTCTCTTGGTTTTTGCTTTGCTTACATGAACTTTTTTTCAAGTTGTTTAAGGACACATTTTTTCAACGATACCTTAGCTATTCTTTGCTGTGAGCATTTTTGTTACAATTTGTATCTGCCAATCTAGAATTGAACAGTTCTTTCCTAGTGGGAACCCATCAGTTGAGAACCCCAGATCTAAATGTTATAATTTCAAATGCTTTTAATTTATGTATTTGTTCATTAGCTGAATGCAAAATGATTTCACCATTCTTTGGTGTTAAGTATTATTCACCATAATGCATAACACCAAAGAATGTAATAAATTAATAAATATGGTTGTCTACCTTTTAACCTGGTTTAAACCAGAATGCCATATTAATTAGCATCCAATTTTGGGATGCA